CTTTCACATTATTACAAAAAGACATATATTCGCGGGATTATATTTTAAAATTTAGAGGTCCGCAAGCAAGTCTCCTTCGCCGTGGAAGTGATGCAAGTCTCTTTCCCGAATGGATGCATGTTGCACACTTACATTCTCTCTCGCAAGGAGGAAGTCCTCTTCCCGAATATTGTAGCAAGTCACTTCCAAGAGGAGAGATGGCGCAGAGAGAGTTCTCTCTATCCAGTAATAATGAGCAGTCTCTTGCCAGAAGGTAGCGAGTCGATCACATTACGCGAATGGAGACGAAGATCTGAGCTATAAATCGCTGTAAGAGCAAGAGTCTCTTCCGAACAGGAAGAATATAATGCAAAGTATATCATCGCAATGTTCATAGAGAGAAATTGTATACAATGGTCTCACTTTACGGTACACTAAGTGAGAAAGAGAGCAAGGTCTCTCCACAGAAGAGCACGAAAGTCACTCTATCAGCTAGAAAAGGAGCAGTCTCTTCGAGGAGTGTATAACACATGGTCACTTATTGGCTGGAGATGGTAGTCAGAGTTTATTGCAGCATAAGAAGCGAGCAAAGTCTTCTCTGAGTAAAGTTATGTTGAGCTGGAGATGTGCAACTCTATTCAGACAGCAGAAGTCTAAAATACTACTTCCGAGTGGAATTGCAGAAGTTCTTCTTCTGGCCGAAAGAGATGTACAAGCCTCTTCTTCTCGAAAGGGAGGCAAGTGTTCCCTTACCGTAAAAGACGTATGCAAGTCCTCTTCCGCACGCTAAGTCGAAACAAGTCCTCTTCGCGAAGAAGAAGAGCAAGATTTCGAACCTATCCGCCAAGAGCAAGTCTCCTTATAAATCAGAAAGAGCAAGACTCATTCTTTTCCGAAGTGTAGCTTTCACAAGTCTCTATGAGTTTTGGAACACCACTGTGCGTAAGCAGATGATAGGCAAGATGTCTCTCTCCCATCACTGGTAAGCAAAGGGTGAACGCAATCACTATTCGAATTCGGTCCTCGTTTCCAGTATACCGAAGGAGCAAGTCCTCTAATTGCTATTTTCCTGAGCACGAGAGAACAACGCTTTCTTACAGCCCACTACTCACGCAAGAACAATCCTCTCCTTCCAGTGCGCGAACTGTCTCCGCCATTCTTTTCTCATAGCCGTAAAGGAACGCTAGAAGCTAAGTCTTACATCCAATATCACTTGAGACACAGGAGCAAGTCTCATGTCTCGGCCGAAAGATTGAGCAAAAGTTCTAACTAGGGTCCGAGATATTTTCGACAAGCAATAAGTCTATCTTATGTCTCGAAGTAGCAATATGACAAGCACTCTCATTTTCCGAAACAATATGAATAGGAGCAAGTCATCTATCTTGGGCGAAATAAGGAGCAACTGTCTCTTATTCCGAAAGAAGATGCCATAAAGTCTACTTACCGGGAAGATGCTGAGGAAGAGTCTCTCTATGCTCGTGAAAGGTAGCAATCCGTTTCCTCCTCCGCACACAGCGAAGCGAAGTCTTACGTTGATTCTGGTTCTCGCCGATAGGAGCAAGTCTCTTCCGAAGGAGCAGTCTCCATTCCACGAAGGAGACAAAGTATCTCTTACTCACAAGAAGATTTTTTAAATAAAGCAAGACGTCCCATCTTTCCCGAAAGGAGCAAGTCTCTTTCCGAAGGAACACAGTCTCTTTCCGAAGAGCAAGATATGCATCGGCTTCCGAACGGAGCCAAGTGCTCGTTCTTCCCCGAAGGATGCAAGTCTCTTCCCCGCAAGGAGCCAAGTCTGCCATTCTCGCGCGCTAAGCAAGAGCAAACGTCCGCTGTGAGACACAATTTATTATTCCTCTGGCGCATATGCTCATGTTGGTCTGTTTCATGAAAGCACTTCCCAATCTTCCTGAAATTACCCATGGAGTTTAGCAAAAATCCTAACACAAATTTTTGCGGAAATCAAACCGTTCAAGTACTACTGTAATACCAATAACCTACACGTATAATTTAAAATACACACACCACTAGGGACTACCCCCAGTGCTTTTTATGCCCACTTTCGGGATGATCTTCGATTCGAAAACTATATCCTGAGTTAGAGATGTGTTTTGATGCACGGCAACGCAATATCTACTAATCCTACAAGTAGAAAAACACTTTTTAAACTGTTACTTTCTTGCAATCCCGAATAACAGATTTTGTTTGTTTTTGGCCACTATCGTGGCGATCAGTTCGCACATTGTTTTGTCGTATATTGTACAACGAGCTCACACGCCAAGAGACGTCACCACCAATTTCGGGCATGAGAACGTTCGATCATTTACACACACTTGACACGCAGCGTTTGGCCAATCTTCGATACTGAGCGCTGTATGTTCACGCACTTGCCAGCCGCTAGGGGTAAACAGCAACGGTCATTATCTACAGATATAACAGCACGCACTCTCTATTGGTTTGTCAAGCTCACAAATTCAGATACATGGCCTGCCTCTTCTTGATTAAATTGGCACCATAGCTGAGACGGAGAGTGAGAATAATGGTTTCTTGCTTCTACCTTCTGTAACTCCCTGGTTATAAAATACATAGCGGAATAACAAATCAATATGATTAATTCATTATAACATTATATTCTCATATATACTCAATTTATTCCTAATATATTATTACTTCATAATTATTTAACATTCGTACTTATTTTAGTTTCACTCATTATCTAACTAAAGTTATCATATTTATTCTTTCCATTACTATATTATATATTATCATTATATTATTATTCAATTATTTCCATATTATTATCCTCGTTATCTTCAATTATTATTATTATTATAGCCAACAACAAACACAAACCCAAAAAAAAACTCATCCACCACCACCATACAAACCGCAAAATTGCTCACCAGACAACACATTACCCAACCTCCAAACGTGGATACAGAATACAGTTAACAAACCGGAAACTCTCTTCCTAGGACATGCATGTAAAGAACCCAAAAAGTACAAGATGATCACTTTTTCCCGCGCAACACTACAATGAAACGGTGCAGTGGGAACAAAAGTTGTACAATAAAATTTTAGGGGGCCTGCTGAATTATAATTCACCCAATGGCATAAAAGCATTGTTTTCTCCGCTTGCACATCTGGTTAATTCTTTCTGGCATCAAAAAACAAGTTACCGAGAGAATTTTTAAAATTTTTAAAATTTTCAGTGTTTGACAGACAGTGTAAACTTTCCCCCTGACCGG